GCTAGAACATGCAAGTGAAAATAGTGAAGAATGGAATAGCTTTTTAGTGATGTGGTTGGTTGTGGTTGGCTGCACTTCTCATACATGTGTGTTACTTACCTAGTTAACAGAGTCCTGTGGCACCTTTAAGACTAACAGATGTATTGGAGCATAAGCTTTCGTGGGTGAATGCCCACTTCGTCAGACGCAAGTGACAAAGTGGGCATTCACCCACGAAAGGTTATGCTCCAATACATCTGTTAGTTTTAAAGGTGCCACAGGACCCTCTGTTGCTTCTTACAGATCCAGACTAACACGGCTACCCCTCGGATACTTGTTGCCTAGTTAAGTTTAATGCCGCAGCTGCTGTCTGGTTTGTTTTTACCCCTAACAGTTTTAGTTTCATTCTACTTATAGGATACGAAAGTTCCCCAGTTAATTCTGTGCGACAGGCCCGGCTCTGTGTTTAATCACAATCTGAGGGCCAGGGGGCATAAATTTAGGGCTACACATGCCCCTCAATGCACAGTGAGGTTCCCGCTAGCGTCAGTGGCAGTCTGCAAGGCGATGAAGGGGAAAATCTGTTCTTGATGAAATAGCAGAATTCTGAGTTATAATTTCGGTGGTTGCCTGTTCCGCCTCACTCACTCGTGTGTGGGTGCCAGGCAGTTTATCCCCCCCCCCCCCCACCCATGGAAAAGTGATTACAATTTTTTTCCCCATGTCGACAAGGCCTTAATCACAAGGCCACCCTCTGTCTCCAATAAGGCCTCAAGGGCATCAGCTGCTACCCTGGATACAAGGAGGCTCTGTTCCCCCTCGTTAGCTCAGCTGTGCGGGAAGAAGGGCTATTGGGTGCTGGGCTCTTTGGAAAATCCGACCTCCATGGGGTGGGTTCACTTTCTTTGCAGCTGCAGCCCGTTGCTGACTCACTCAATTTGTGACCCCCTCGCACCCCCAGCTCTGTTTCAGCAGTACAACCCCCGAGCCACCTAGTCCCCAGGTTGTAGTTGTGCATCTGATTTTTCCTTCCCGTTGCAGTATTTTGTGCTTGTCTTTACTGAATTTCATCTTGTTGAATTCAGACCATTTCTCCGATTTGTGAAGGTCATTTTGAATTCTCATCCAGCCTCCAAAGTGCTTGTGATCCTCCCAGCGTGGTGTCAGCTGCAAATTTTACAAGCACGCTCTCCACTCCCTCATCCAAGTCATTCATGGAAATAATGAATTGTACCTGAGACAGGACCTGCTGGACCCCACTAGATCCATGTAGACGTTCCTGCCCTGAAGCTCGGTGAGGAGGGTGGATCTCGGAGCCCAGGTGGCAACGTCTACATGGCAATTTTTAGCACCATAGCACAATCCCGAGGCTCTAGTCCCGGGTTCTGAGACTCGCTGCCGTGGGTGTTTTGCAGTGTAGACGTACCCTGGGTCATTACTGATTGCCTGGAATTCGCCCACTTTGCAGTGATGACGCAGGCGAAATCATCTCGGAACTGTTAGCGATTATCTTCAAGAACTCCTGGAAGGTGGGTGAGGTCCTATAGGAATGGAGAAGGGCAAACATAGGACCTACCTTTAAAAAGGGGAAGAAAGAGGAACCAGGGAATTATAGACCAGTCAGTCTAACTTCGATCCCTGGAAAGGGACTAGAACAAACGATTAAACAATCAGTGTGTTACCCCCTAGCCTAGAGGATAACAGGGTAATAAATAAGAGTCAACATGGATTCGTCAAGAAAAAAATCCTACTAAACCAACCTAATTTCCTTCTTTTAACAGGGTCACTGACCTAGTGGAGAAGCAGGAGACGTGATATATCTTGATTTTAGTATGGCATTTGACATAGTCCCACGTGACATTCTCACAAGCAAACTGCGGAATGTGGTCTAGATGAAATTACTATAAGGTGGGTGAACAACTGGTTGAAAGACTGAACTCAGAGTAGTTATCAGTGGTTTGCTGTCCAGCTGAGAGGACTTTAGAGGAGAGCAACAAAAGTGATAAAAGGTTTAGAAAACCCGACTCAGCCGGGACGGGTAAGGAACTGATGCTGCAGTTCTGGCTGCAGTCGCTAGATGGCGCTCAGGGCAGCCGGAGTCGCACAGGCTGGACGGCAGTTCAGGCTGCCCGGCCGCTGGAGAGCCGGAGCGT